CCGACATCACAGGCAGGTGCGAAGTGGGGTCCAGTCCTGGGCAGTCAGAGACAAAGGTCCACACTTATATAGTCAGGGGGAGCTGGACTCCATCAGGACAGGAGGAAGAAGAAGCAGCGGCCAACAAGGAGAAAATGTTCGAGTGACTTCCATAATGGCCACTGGACAAAGAGAGAAGGAAGAAGTAACAGAGAGTAAGGTCAGGGAAAAAGAAAGCAGGAAGAAAATCAGTATCCCCGCCCTACAGATATGGAAATCAAAGCCAAGTGTCCTCTGCACAGAAGGTAAGCCACACGCTGGCATACGGAACCTGAGGGGGACAAATGTAGTCAGGAGGAGCATATAGGAGGTTCACAGTTCAATAAGGAGAAAGTGACCGGGTCACCTGCCTCGAGAATCTTAGCTGGAGGCAGAGGCAGAGCAACAACTTGGCCTTCCGAAGGGCAGGCCACTGGCGGGTGTGTCCCCTGAGGAGGAAAGGCTGAGCGCTAGGAGGACAGGAAAAGTGCCAGGAAGCGCTAGGGAGCCCGGGTGACTGCAGCAGGCTTGGTGAGAAGCAGGTGCAGCAGGGGAGCGGGCAGAAGCAACTGCCAGAAGGTGCCGAAAGATCAAGACCTAAATCAAGGAAAGGAGGGTCCCAAGTCCAGAGACGGATCACTGCTCCAAAGAGCAGATGGAACAAAACCCTGCTGGATGACAAGGCCACAGGTGCCAGGCACCCCCAGACTCCCTCCCACATGACACACTTCTCCCCCCACACACACCCGTTGTGCAGTTTAGGCAATGCGGTCTGTTAAACCCCCAAAACCGCTCCATATCAAAAGGGCTTTTACAAATAAATTTAATATTAATTAAAATTAAGGGCTCACCATAGTCCTGGGAGTCACCCTCCACTCTTGAGCCCTAGCCTGTCCCTCACCCATCTAAATGGATATGGGGATGGCGTGTGGTGTGTTGTGATAGGGCACTGGGGCTGGACATGGGACTCAGGGGTTCAGTGTGGTCTGGGGGACACAGGATGAAGATCAGGGCTGCCGTGCAAGAAGATCTCTCTTTTTTTTTTTTTTTTTTTTTTTTGTCTTTTTCCTTTTTATCGGTACCAGGGATCGAACTTGCAAGGCAGGCGCTTATGCCGCTGAGCTAAATTCCCCGCCCCTAAGATCTCTTTTTTCACTCCATAACCCAACTTTTCAGTAAAGGACAGAAAAAAGGGTTGAGACAGATCAAGGCAAGGAGACAAGGGAGGGGAAGACAAGGAAAGAGAAAAGTCACCATGATTTTGTTCCAGGAACTAGAGCAATTTGGGATTTCACGCCCTCTTGGGGCTGGCTGAATGGTGTCCTCTGTACTGTACTTTGTTTCCAGAGTTGAGGTGGGTGGGCGGGGATCTGGCAACTGTTGGCAACCTGGCACCCTTCCTCCTAGCCTGCCTGTAAGGGGGTGGGAGGGGCTGGAGGGAAGAACAGAGTGGTAAGCCGCCCTGCCACCTGCCTTGCCCACCCAGAGCTGCCTGGAGCTCCGCGGGGCTGGCTGTGGACATCCACGGGGGCCCCCCAACCCAACTAGCAGTTCAGAGGCTTGGCAGCCACTGACACCCAAGGCCAGGGCCTCGAGCTTGGCAGTGAGCATGTTCCACTGCGGCCGGGCTGGGAAGAAGGGCTCATCCTGGGAGAGCTAAAGGGCAGGGCTTCCCGGACAGGCTGGCTGGGCAGAAGAAGGGCTGTGAAAGGGTAAGCGGAAGTTCCCCTGCTTCAAATCTTTCCTGTTTCCTTTTGCCCCTGCTTTCACCACAGCAGACTCCGCATGGTCTGCAAGCAGTATGCCTAATCTAGTTGGAATTTCCTCCTCCACCCACCTGGCATGCCTCCCCACAACCGTGAGCACTCCTGACCCCACCAGGGGTTTTCTCGTCTCTACCCCAAAGGCTGGTCTGGGTCTCCACCACGCCACTTGCCACTTTGGAACACAGGTTAGAGGCTCCTGGAAGCTGCTGCCACATCCCAGGTGCAGAGGAGGCGGTCATGTCTCATACGGTAGAGAGACTGCTAGCTGGCCCTCTGCCACCCTCCATACTCCTGGCCATGCCAAAGGTGCCAGCAGCCTGGCCCCTTACACGTGAATGAACATTCATGTACACTACTACATGTGGAACTGAGAGAAAGGAAGACAGGAAGGCACAGGAAAACTGCCACAGCCTCCAGGCAGAGGCGCATTTCACACCACCGCCAGGGAAACACACACAACCCAGACAGAACTGCAGTAGCCCAGTGTCCCTCGGCACATGCCATGCCGGTCCCCATTTTATACGCCTGCCAATCTCTCTTAAAGCATTGAGCCCACAAATGGGTCACGATCTACAATTTGAGAAACACTGGTTATTAAGTGACACTGGGAAGTAAGAGGATCTCATGAAAAAGCAACTTCAACACTATAACTGTAAGCATTATAACTTCAACATTATACTGTAACAACCCTGCCTTTCTGCATTCAGGCCCACAGAACCAAAGAGCTCAGCCGACTTGGGGCTGAAAGGGACCAGTGCTGGTTTCCACGCACATACCTCCTGGCATAGGCAAACTGCAAGAAATAGGCTGGCTCCACGCGCTCATGTAACAATTACAAGACCAAAGTGGAAATACATGCTTTCGCAAGCAAACTTCCTTTTCCTTCCAAGATACAATTTACATTGATTTGGTCTCCATTGTAATAATTATTTTCAAGTTTCAAGTAGCATGAAAGGACAACAGATGTTCTGTGTGTATAGAGAGGAAGATGGGCTAAAGGTGTGGAGAAATCTTGACCTGGTACACAGTGCCTATTGATAGTGACTTTAAAACTAAGGGACATATGGCGAGGTGTGGTGGTACACAGGTATGGTTAGGTACACAGGAGGCTGAGGCAGGAGGACTACCACAAGTTAGAGACCAGCCTGGGCTCCGTAGTGAGTTCAAGGGCAGCCTGAATCATATAGAGAGATACTTAAATAACAAAAACAAAACAAACAAAAAGACCTCACCAAAAAAAAAAAAAAAACTTAAAGCACAAAATAGTATCTGAGGCATACAGCAAGTAAGGGTGAACAATCTAAGCCAGGTCTCCTGACTCAATTACTCATCATTTGCATCATCCAAAATATTTAAGAGGAGCACAGCTATGGTCTCATGGAATAAAGCATTTCTATCACTGAGGCAGGGATGCATCCCCGCCACCTCATGATTGGCACAGATACCTCATGATTGGCACAGATACTGAGTAGATCTCAGTACTCAGCTGCTGACTCCCTGGGGTCACACACAACCTTTACCAGTGCCACTTAATTTCCAGGACTGGTCTCTGCACGTGATGAGTTATGTCCATGACGGTGCCATGTAACAATCAGTACTCAGATTATTTCCTGCACCTCTCAATCCCTTGCCATTCACCATCCTGGAACGACAGCTCTCTCACAAGTAAACCCCAGAAGGTTACTCTCTGCTTGTGTCTCTGCTGAAAACTTGACAGAAAAATCTTTGCTATCCCTTCCAAGAAAACTGCAGGAGAAAACAGAGGCGCTTTACAACCAACCCCGCACACTTAAAGAATAGCAGAGCCCCTAAAGGCTTAATGGAGTTCTAGTAAAAAAAAAAACCCAGAACTAGAACTTACTGGCTAGCTAAGCTGATTTCTCATTTTATTGACAGCTCCTTAAGATAAATGAATTACTTATGACCCAGCCATATCTGCTCCTCCTACCTCACACACCATGCTACTGCATCCACAGGTGGAAACTGTTTCAGAAGGCAATACTAAGTAACAGTGAGGTCTGAAGCCAAACATACCAATGTCTACACAGACACATGAGAGTTTAACATGAGACAAAAGCCTTGAGTGCCAAAGAGAGCCCAAAAGGCTGACTATTCCTAACCCTAAAATTAAGCTAAAATAAGGGTCTGCCCTGACTCACCGCAAAGACCAAAGACACCTACAAGGTGGCAGATTCCTCTGATGGGCTGCATCTCCTGGATACCAGTGGGACTGGAACCTGCTCAAATTACACTTCTGTGCTCTTAACTTTCCCCAGTCTCTGCCCAGGGCACTTGAGACAACAGCTTCAAATACAGGAATGTATTCAATGTAATCAAATGTTATTACATTTGAAAGCTTCTTTCCTATACCAATACCACCTGGTATCTGTCAGACCTTTCCTGCAGAAGCTATGAAGACCTAAGGAATAAGGTCTCCCTCCTCCCTCCGTAACAGTGGCAGGCCAAAATTATTTCTCTAGTTCCCCTCTGGAACACTGGAAGGCCAGGAGGGGCAACAACTGAGGCTCATCAGTGTGCTGGCTGACGGGCCTCGATTTACTCCCAGTGCTGGTGCCTGCTGGCATGGGACATGGCCTGTACAGCCCCTGACCGCGGGTTCTGATAAAACCCTCAGAGTCAACCATTCTGGTCTTCATACCTGCTCCTGGGGAGCTGGACTCAGCGATAAGATACATGTAGCTGCTGGTGGAGGAGCTCCGTGGGCCCTGCCCTGTAAGATAACTGCCACCTAGAGAGAGGCCTCCAAGTTTCCCCCAAAGCAACTGTCACTGCAGCCAAAAGCATTCAGATGACTATGAGTCAGGGCAAGCTAATCAACTGGCCTCTCTGTGCCTCAGTCTCTTTCTCTGTTAACTCCCAGGACTGCGCTATGCACGAGATGAGTTATGTTCATGACAACGCCATGTGTAACAATCAGCACTCATGTTACTTCCTGCACCTCTCGATCCCCTGCCTTACACCGTCCTGAACAGACAGCTAACAAGTAAATCCCACCCGCTTAAGGTGCGCCTTAGAGAAATGCAAGTGAAACTATCTGAGGAAGTGACCAACCCAAACTGAGTGTCCATTACACAACCCAAGGTGAGGTTCCCATAGAGCAAGCTCTCGCATGCCCACCTCCCAGCAAGCAAAAGGAAACACAAACGTCACTGCAGGTCTCCCTGTCCGGCAGGTGTTCAGGTGCACGGACTCAGGGAAAGAGGAGCAGGGGAATACACAGCACCCCCGAAAGAGGCGCCACCCCACAGCAGCAGGAACAGACTGGTCTCAGGGGGCGCGCGGCCAGGCGGGGGCCACGTTTCTGGTGCGAGCGTGATTAGCGCTTCCCAGCGGCGAGCGAGCTCAGAAACTGCGCACGTGTGTGCAGCCCGGGCCACCGCGCACGGCTGGCGCGGAGACCCAGCAAAGCCGCGGCGTCGCAACCCCCCGAGCCTGGTCACTGGTCCTGCTGGCCGCAGCGCGGCCAGCAGCGGGGCGAGCACCATGCGGGAGCAGAGGTGAGGGGCGCCCTGGCAGGGGGGTGGGGGCCGGGGCTCTGGCTCACTGCAGAAGGAGCGGCGCTGCGCTCCCCCGGGCCGAACTGCCACCCCAGCCCCCCCGCCGCGGGTGCCCAGGCACTACGTGGTTTCGGGGCGCTGCCCCTGGCTGTCCATGCGCGGGATGCAAACGCGCGCGCGCGCGCCCCTGCTCTGCTCGCTCCGTTCCCCGAGTCTCCCCGCGCCTCACCTTCACCGAGTCCACCGGGTACATGACCGAGTGCTCCAGGATCCCAGCCATCGCTCCGGCTGTCATGTGGGTGGAAACGGAGGCGCCGGTCGGCAGGTTCTCGTAGTCCTCCGACCCGGCGTCCTTGCTGCCGCCGCCGCCGCCATCTCGGCTGTCCCCATCCATCCTCCGCCCCGCAGCCTGGCTGCCCACGCCGCCGCGGCGCAGCTCCATCCGCCGGCCCCGCGGGGCGCGGGAGGCTGCAGGAGGTGGGCAGGGAGGGGGAGGGGGCGGAAAACTTCACTTCTTAAAGTGGGAACCTCCTCCCCGGGGCCGCGGCCGCTGACGCCATGGCGGGCTGAGGCGGGGCCGAGGGGCCGGAGGCACCAATGGCAGGAAAAGAAGAGGCCGGCCGCGGCCGCGCCATTGGTGCGCGGGGAGTACGTTCCCGCCTCCCTTGTGACGTCACTGCCCAGTGCACTTTTCTAAGCCACCGGATGGGGGCGAGAGTGGTCGTTGGGGTGTCCCGGGAAGTTGGGCGACCCGAGGGTGGTTGGTGCTGGCCCTTGAGGGTCAGGCGGGAAAGTGGACCTTGGGGAAGGGTCAGCCAGGAGGCAGAGGGGAGATGCCCAAAGGTGGAGGGAGATTAGGAATAGCGGCTGCCGTAGAATCCACCCTCCAGAGGAGGTGGCTTTGCAAAACCGTATTGCTCAGCAAGCTTTGGCATTCCTAAGGCCAGAAAGGAGGGGGGAGTCGAGGGGAGTTGCTGGGAATGTCAGTTATGAAGCAGTTAGAGTGGTTGGGGAGAGGTTAGAAAGTTCTCGAACTGAAGACACATCTCACGTCTCATATGGTACAGGGGTCTGTTAAAATTCAGAGGCCCATTCTAGTTGGCTTTGTTGGAGAGGGTTTTTATTTGAACTTGTTTCTCTCACTGAATTCACACCGTGAAGAGCTGGGTGCGTTCCACCTGTTGTTCTCCCAAAGAGCCAGGCCAGCTTCTCCCCACTCCAGATTGAGCAAGACGGTGATAACCTGAATGAAGCCCTCCAGTTAGCGCCACCTGCACATTTTCTTTGGATTTGGAAGGTCTTTGCAGATGAGTGTAAAATCTGCCTGTCTGCCTTCCTTTTGGACTCTCGTCTCCTAACTCTTTAACATCATCCTTCTGGCTTGATTGATAGTACTCTGGGCATGTTCCATCGGAGGGAAAAGGTGTCAAAAAGTAAGGGAGGCTTCTGTCAGCTTGTGAAAGTCTCCCAGAAGGTGTGCATGGCCGAGGACCCCTGGGGTTGGGATGTGTCTACTTCCACAACACCCAGAGCACACCTGGACAAGGGTTCTGCTCAGGAAAGCTGGGGAGACCCTGAAGATGCAGTGCCTGCCAGGGTTCGGGTCGTGTCCCAGACAATTCTTAGAGATGTGTGGTAACCTACAGTGTGTGTGCATTAGTAGAAACCAACGGGCTTCAAGACCAAGGGCACTAATTTCCCATTTTGTGTAGCTGTCCATAGCAGATCCCAAGTGGATGCTAAGAATGTGATTAAAACAAGCTCGGTGTTTAGTTATGGCTAAATTTTTTAAAAGCTCTCTACTGTCAAAGATGATTTTGAAGAAAAATGTTGATCAGAAGTTGTTTGTAATGGTTTAAAAATGGTCGCGCCAAAGTGGGTTTGGTACTGCACATCTGTAATCCCAAAGATCAGGTTGGGTAAGTTAGCAAGATCCTGTCTCAAAATTAAAAAAAAAAAAATGCCTTTTTAACCATTATGTATCAGCCCCATGTCCTGCTTATGGAACATGACACAAAAGCCTGAGCCTGCAGGAAGCTCTTTTCCAAAACATTATTCATGATAGTAAATTATTAGCAACAACCAAAACATTCAACCAGAGGGTATTGGCTAGATAAATTATGACGTGTATTAGTAAAATATTATGCAACCACTAAAAAGCATGGTCCCATTCTTCAATAACATAAGAAATGATTCATACAATAAGTGGGGGGAGACAAAATGTTATTTCATTCACACAAGAAAAAATTAAAATGATTATAATGGTGGTGACAGGATTGTAAGGAACACTTTTGACTGTTTCTCCGACTTACATTGTTTCTATTGTTTCTGTAATTTAAAAGCAATGAGTTCTTTTTAAAATAACATACATACATTTTAGCTATCCTAATGGATGAGAAATCCCCTGAGCTTTGCGACAGTGACACTGGTAGAATTCATCTTTCCAACGGTGAAGATTCTCAGCAAAATTGACTATGCCTATAAATTTCAGGGACATGTTTCTTTGTAAAACTTTATTACATAAAATTTAAGTCAAATCCAACTGAAAATCTTTGAAATATTATCAGTATCCCATATTTTGTGCTATTTAGCTATATGATAGATATAGTGATTGAACATTTGGCATCCATCTTTCATTCCTTGTTGAATTACAGTACCCAGAACATTGAAAGCCACAATTCTCAGCCTCTCTGGCAGCTGTAGGTTTAGGTGTGAATTGTATTCTACCAGCAATGAACTAGTAAGATCTAGAAAGTAAATGTGAGGTAGAAACTGTCTTTTTGCTGCCTTGATGTTTTCTGCTGCCCATGAAGGCCATAGACAGTTGGCCTTGTTCCCCAGACTCATGAGTGTTGAGAGGTGTTGGTGGCAGTGAGGTGGCAGCTGTGATGATGACAGCCCCATGCTCCATGCACTATTGTTCAGTTGGTGGCCCCCTGATTCTTTAGCTTTGGAGGGTGTCACAGAGGTAGCCATTCCTCTTGGGAGGCCAGCTTGGCAGTGTGCATTTCAGAGTCATGCTCGGAGCCCAGTCTGGAGTCTTATCCCTGTCCCTCCTGACAGTACCATGTATAGCAGCAGAAGGGCAAGATGATAGGCCATCCCTAAGCGTGGAGACCCAGTAGCCAGCCCTGCTCCTTCACCTCTGGGAAAGGCCTTTTGGAAGGGCTATACCCCAGACATTCAAACCCAGTGTTTTGGCCTCACTGCCAGCAGGAGGGAGTAGATCTTTATTTGCAGGGCAAGAGCTCAGGAACGCAGGAGTAGAGAAGCAACTGCTAATTTGATCCTCTCCCAGGAGACTCAGAATAACTTACTGGTTCTGTTGAAGTCTTGCAAAAAGTTCCTGAACGTTGGGTCTCTGCAGATGTCATCATGCTGTTTGCTGTAGGCCAACTGGCAGCCAAGCTGCACTTCGAAAGAGGAAGCTTCTGAGTTGTGTAGGGTGCAGAGCACCAGGCTTGGGTCACACACGTGTGTGAGCCCCAGTGGCACCACTTACTAGCAGAGTGGCTGTGGCCACCTTGGTGATAAGCTTCCTCCTCTGTGGACCGTGGTCACTGATACTCACATGATCTGAATGAAACATAGAAAACATAAATTGAAAATGAAAGCATGCAATGAAATAGGTATAATTTGGGTGTTGGGAGTAGAGAAGACAGGAAGCCAGGGGTTTGGCAGGAAGAGGTTCAGACTTTCTCAATAATCATTCATGCTTTAGCATGCCCATCCACTGTGCTGCACACACACACAGTACCACCCAACCTAGAGTGTGCAGCTTGTACTCGGTCTCTGTGCCAGGGACTCTGCCCTCCTCTGCCACAAGCCAGAGAGAAGATCCTGAAGTCCCTTGTCATGGGACAACTATGCCTGGCATTGTGTCTCCTAAGGCACCTATCAACTGGCATAGGTCCAGGGTATGGGCTGTACTTTTTGGCTTTTGTTTTACCCGTTTTTCTTCCTGGGTTTGTTTTTATTGGTTTGTCTTTTGTTTCTTGGGTTTTGTTTTGTTTTGTTTTTCTGTGGGGGGATTGTTTTCATTTTTTGGTGCTGGAGAGTGAACCCAGGGACTTTTCACTGAGCTACATCCCGTCTCTCTTGGGGGGTGCACGGTCTTGAGTTACTACATTTCCCAGCTGGGCTAGTTTTGCAGTTCTCCTTCCTCAGCCTCCCAGAGTGCTGGGATTGGGCTGGGGATTTAGCTCAGCAGCATAAGCACCTGCCTGGCAAGTACAAGGTCATGAGTTCAATCCCCGGTACTGCAAAAAATAGAAACCAGAGTGCTGGGATTAACAGCATTGGCTGCCACATCCTGCTGGCCTCTGTTTTTTACAATAGATCAGTCATGGTGAACCTTTCAGAGATGAATGCCCAAACTGCAACCCAAAACCTATTTATTTATCACAAAGTGCCACCACTGCAGTTAAACCTAAATATTGAAGTTTTAGTTTAGATAAAATGACTCACACATTAAATCTTTGTTAAAAGGAAACACAGAGGCCAGTGGTGATACAGCTCAGGGGTACAGCGCCTGCCTGGCATTCATGAGGTCATGAGTTTGATTCCCAGCACCAAAAAGAGAAAAGCAAAAAATTTCTAGCACAACATGCATGGCACAATTTTGCCACCACTGTCATAGACGCTGGTGCACATGCTGGTTAATGCTAAGCAGGTGTTTATGTAGAGAGGGCCACAAGGGCCTCTGGATGTGCACTGTCCCTCTCACAGCTATCTCTTAATCCCAGAATCCCTTGCTTTCCCGAGGAACAGTACCATTTCTAAAAGCTCTATCTGTGATTTATATTCAGGAATGTCTCCAAGTAAGACAAAAGAAGACCCAGAGGCAAAAGATACCCAGAAGCCTTAGTCAAATAAAGAAGAGGCAGCAAAGAGCCATGATGCAAAGAATGCAGAGACTTCTTTTTATAAAAGGTGGTGACACACAAGAGTCCGAGCAGGGTTTCAGCAGGTTGAGAGAGAGGGAGATTGATCTCCTTAGCTGCCAAGAGCCTGTCTCTGCCTGGAACCCCACGTCTGTGAGACAGTGCCCTTGCTCTTCTCCTGGGGACACCCATGCCATCCTCCCGGACCTAAGGACAACCGTCCCTTGCTATGGAGATAGCCAGTGTCTCTGAATTGGGTGGCCCTTGCTATCACTGCAGAGCTCACCCTTGGGCAGATAGAGCAAAGCCCCGAGGTGGTCAGAGCAGGTCAAAGCAGAATATGGGGGTTTGGGGAAGCAAAGCATTGAGTACATTCTGAGTGGGGTGTGCCCACAATGTGTACTTGTGTGGATGGGCTGTGGGCCACACACTGGTCACCCACCCCAACAGCTGACAGCTGCCATTTTCCCCATGCTCGCCTATTTCCACAAATGCACTCAATTCCTAAAAATGAAATGTCTTCTGCTTCCGTCTTCCATTCTGAAATCCTCAAGTCACCTTTTTCACAGCACTCACTCTATAGACCTTTGCATGGTGGTTTCCAAGTCCTGCAACTTCCTACAGACCTCTTACCAAGGTCACCGATGACCTCAATGTCCTCTCTGCCTGTGGCTCCCTGGGTAAACCTCTGGACCTTGCCTCCTCTGGAATTCCTCCTCATGTCTGCTCTTCTGCCTGGCCTTTCTGCCCTTCTCCACACCTCGCTCCTCTCCACACTCTGCCCTCAGAGAACCTCTCCTACCTTCCTTGCGGTCCTCTCTCACATCCCCACCTCCCAGTTACCAGCCCTAATTCTGTGCTCCAGTCCCACTGGCTCCTGCATGGGAATATTCAGCCCAACCTCAATCTCAGGGAGTGTGGTCCTGCCCTGAGGCTGCCGTAACAAAACACCACAGACTGAGGACTGCAGAGGACAGAAGTCTTTGTCTCCAAGTTCTAGAGGCCAGGGTGGCTGCAGAGCCATCTCTGTCTCTCTGAAAGCTGTGTGGAGGGTCCTTGTCTCTTCCACCTTCCAGTGGCTCCTAGCATCTGTGACATTCTTTGACTTATCGGTGCATCACTGCAGGTGTATGTAGCATCTTCCTCTGTGTCTTCATGCCTGGCTGAATCTCTCCTCCTTATAAGACACCTGTCATATTGTATTTAAGTCCTGCTCTAATCTAGTATGATCTCAACTGAATGAACTTGATGGCACCTGCAAAGATCCTATTTCCAAACAAAGTCACAGTCACAAGTTCTTGGTGGACATGAACTGAGTGGGGAGACACTATTCCACCTGGAACATTAAGAGGGAAGCAGGAGGCCTGGGTTCCAGTCCTTACCAGTATCTGCCCAGTCCATTTATCCGTGCAACAATGACCTGGGGTTGACCTCCATAGTGGCAGGACCCCCCTCCTGCCTCCTGCTTCCCCTGAAAAACTAAATTTCCAATCTTTCCTCAAAATCACCAACTCTCACCCGCATTTTTTTACGTGTACTTTGAGGTCTTTCCACACATCCACCAGTTGACAAGCTTTCTTCTCCTTCTGCTTCTCTGAGTGAAAAATGCACTGTTAATGATGCATTAGGATCAAGATACAAACTGGGAAAGGCTGGACATAGTGTCACCCTAATTCTAGCCAGCTTGTCATCCTAAACCCATCCTGCTAAATCGACAGCCCTTTTCTTGCCTTAGATCTTCATCAAAGGAAAAGACCTGTCCACATCACACCTGTTGAAGTGGCACTGGACCTTCATCTGTTCCCCGCTGTAGGAGAGAGCTCCTAGCTTGGAGCTCTCTCTGCCTCTATCACAGAGCTCGCAGGCTTCCTTCTTCCTCATGTTCCAGTTCTGATAACCATGTCCCACCTCTCCCATTACATGCTAAGCTCCTTGAAGATATACATAATGAATGTTTAAAATTTTTTAAAATTATTACAGTAAAACACACATGGCCATTAATTCCCCCCACTTCAAACATTGTTCCACTCCCATCATTCTTTAGGAGTTCCGGAAGTTCTCTCTCATGAGTGTCTTCAGTCACAGAGTCCTGACTTCTTGAGTTCCTGAATGGATTCAAAACTTTTACTGCTCATGGTCCTTTGTACTTTGGGGAGGAGCCAGAAGCTACACAGTGCCAGACCTGGAGAATAAGATGGATGAGGACTCACTAGAAGATTTAAGAGCCTCCTTTTATTGGCTGGCATGTGGGAGCAGTATTCACTGTATTTTTGACCACACTTTATAAAGCCACTCACAAAAGAGGACTTGCAGAACTATTTCAGAAACACCGTATTTGTGATCCCCTTGTAAATCTGAACACTCCATTGTTTAAGGCTACTAATACACTTGACAAAATGAAGAAAAGGAAAGGAATGATAAAATTAAAATGTCAGATTCTTCCATGGACTTACAAAAGAGGATATGATTCAGGGGAGTGTATAGCAAACTTCAGAGGTAATAGCTATGCTATTTTTTTATTAAACTGACTGCTAGATACACTGCTATTCACTGTATGTTACATTCATATCCACTATTATTTTATATCTACTTTATGTTCAAAATGTAACAGTCACTGTTGTCTGATGGTTTGACTTTTGCCCTTTCTGCTTGACTGATGGTACCAAGTGACAAGTGTGCATGCAAGGAGAAATTGTACTGCATATTTTTTTCAACACTGGGATTTGAACTCAAGGCTTTCACACTGTACTGGAATAAAGCCCCAGGTGTATCATCCAAACTCTTTCACTCTCTCACCTTTGAAATAAACTCTGAGGCTGATAAGACTCCTTTATTGTTGTCATTAACCATATCTCAGGTACCCATTCTGTAAAAATCGATAGTCATCCATTCCCCATTCTGAACTCTGCCATCAGCACATGGCCAGGTTCTCCGGGTGGCTTGACAGGCAGCTGTACGGATCATTAATAAGAAACCTAGTTGATCATCTCAGGCAGCACAGAAACCCTGTTTCCAGTGCCTCAAATAGCAGAGGAGATGTGCCCTTTAGCAGACTGAAGATGGTGTGGCTTAAACACTGAAAGCACAACACAATGGGGGCTGGGGATTTAGCTCAGCGGCATAAGCGCCTGCCTTGCAAGCACGCAGTTGTGAGTTCAGTCCCTGGTGGCACTTTCCGGAGAAGCAGCTCTTTGACAATTTGGAACACCAATCCCTGATTTACCACGTGGGTTTCATGTTTGTTTCTCTGGCCCATAGGTCCAATGATACATGGCACCTCTCCTGACTTTGTGTCTGACCTTGGTTTCTACTGGAGGCCAGTTGCAGGGAAGTTGTCAATTTGTAAGTGAAAGATCAGTAGCAGTGCCCTGGTGACCACCGGACAAGCAGGGTCTGAGTTAGCACCAGGAGATTCCCAGATGCAACACAGAAAGGTTTAACCAAAGACAACCACTGGTCATGGGTCTGCACACTCCTTCACAATAGAGATGTCAGGAAAGAGCCCCAGGAGAGTTTTCAGGGGACAGCCCGTCTCCTCTCTCCCTGTACTCCAGGGTAGAGCCCTCAGTTACTGAGTTGGTGGATGGAGAGCCATTGTCTAAGCTTCAGTCTAACTGTGCTGGAATGAGCTGGATAGTAACTTTTCCTTAAATAAAGACTACATACATATACATACATATACATGTGCGCACACACACACACACACACACACTCATGCACAAACTGAGAAGGTCTAATTCTCCTTTGTTAACTACTGGAGTCCCACTTGCTATAATAAGTACGACCTCCTTCATTCAGCCCAAATATAGCAATTCCTAAAGTTCATCTATGTAGTAGAATGCTACTTAACATTTTTTTTTCTAGAAATCTGCCTATATAAGACAGCTCATGAAAAATCAGGACGTTTGTTGAACATAATTAGAAAAAACGTTTTAAAACTAGTCTGGCTCATAGGATCGATTTAAAAGACTGTGAGAATCAACTGTGTCAGTCGTCCTTTTTTTCTTATCATCATGACTAAACAACTTAAAGAAGGATCGTTTATCTTTGCTAAGAGTCTCAGAGGTTTTAGTCGGAGGGGAGTTGGGTCCATGGTTTACAGGCAGATGGGGAGGCAGAAACATCATGGTGGAAGAGGGTAGTGGGGGAAAGCTGCTTACCTAATGGCAGCCAGGAAACGTGGTGTGAAAACGTGGGGGGGGGGGGGCTGGGGATTTAGCTCAGCAGCATAAGCGCGTGCCTTGCAAGCAGGAAGTCGTGAGTTCGATCCTGGTACCGATAAAAAAAAAAATGAAAAAGACAAAAAAAAAAGAAAACAGAGGGAGGGAGAGGGGGAGCAAAGGGGAAGGCCAGAAAGGAGGAGCCAAAGGAGAAGGAGGGGAGGAGGAGGAGGAGGCGGGACAGGATACACCCTCAAAGGCATGCCCTACCCCACAGTGAGCTACTTCCTGCAACTGGACCCCACTTCTATAATAGCCCCTTCAACTATGAATTGTGTGCAAGGAAATTCCTCAATGCACACACTTGCTATAGCAGATGTGACAGAAGCCAATATGTAGCTAGAGGCATAGAAATATTTCCAAGTTTTGGAAGAAAACTGTAATCAACATTTGGTGAATCCACCGAGGAAGAAACAGAGCATGGCAGGAAAGGTAAACTGAGAAGTCGGCACTGGTAGCGTAACCTTTACTACCTACCAATGGGCCTTTAAAGGCAAAAATTGCAGATCATCCCACCCCAGACTCTCAGTTACAAAATGGACACAGGAATTCTTACATTGCAGAATTCAAAGAGAAGTTACATAAGGCACCTGATTTGCATTAGTGCTAGTATGCATGTTCTGTGTATATTAGTGTTCATATATTGTGTAACGCAAACATTAGGAAGATACATATTCATACATATGTATATATTTATAGGTATGCATATTTTTAAATATTAATTTTCCCTGTGGTGTTTAATGAATGGTGGCCAGCTTCTAGTGTGGGCATTTTTTATAGTGTGCTTATGGTCACCTAAAAGCTTAATCAGCAGAGGGCCGAATGTGATGGTGCACGCCTATAATCCCAGCACTCGGTGAGGATGAGGCAGGTGAATTGCTGTGAGTTTGAGGCCAGCCTGGGCTACAAAGTAAGTTCAAGACCAGCCTGAACTACATAGTGAACCCCTGTCTCAAAAAGACAAAAAAAAAAAAAAAAAAAAAAAAAAGGAAGAAAGCACAGAAAGAAAAGGCTTAATCATCAGCTAATTCTGTTTTTGAAGTGTTCTCTTTTTTCCCAAAAATCAAAATATTTTGATAAATGCAAGTATATAAAATCAGAATATGAACATGCCTTGTGTACCTAATAGACTTCACTTCAGTATATATATGGAATCACATTGTTACCAATTGGTCACTGCCACAAAAGTTACACCAAACACCTTAGCAGTTTCTCAGAATCAGTCACTTCACGGCACCTGCCCTGGCATGAGATCTTACCGTCTAGCCCTTCATTTAGACAGGTGGTAATCAGAGTGTCTTCTTTCAGCCTTGTGGGATGCCCCTCTGTCCTTTTGATCAAATTAATATTAATGATGGATATCTGGGTGCTCACTTATCCCATGTGTCTGTCTGCCCCTAGGAGTGGTGACCAGGTCATACAAAACGGTGGTAACTTACGTAGCTCTTCATAACTTTCAAGCACTTTCCATATCTTCTCTCATTTGTTCATGAGGACAGTTACTACAGAGTAAGTTGGAAAACTCAGGCCATATAATAGTATAGGAGGTAGGGTAGACCTGCTCCAAGAGAGTTGACTAATGGTGACACTATCAACAGAAAAGGTAGTGACACAAGACCCTGTCCTTGACCAAGTTCAATTCAACTGGTTTTTTTTGTTTGTTTGTTTTTTGTTTTTTTTTTAAATCAACCTCTGAGAAAAGTCCTGGGATACAGATGACTAACCTCCTAGAAGACACAGTGTAGTGGAATTTGCTTCTTGGTAGAACTTCATTTGTCTTAGAATACTTTTCTTGGTTGGTAGCTGCTCCTCATCCTTCCAGTCCCCATTTAGTTGTCAGCTCCTCTGAAAAGCCATCCTAAACAGGTGTGATTTGGTTACTTAACAAAAAATCCTGAATCACATTATCATTATACGGAACATCTTCCCATCTACCCAGCTGGGCATGGCAGCCCTTGCCTTTAATCTCGGCACTCTGAGAATCTAAGGCAGGAGGAGTCCAAGTTCAAGCCCTACCTGGGCAACTTAGCAGATCCATGAGACTATCTCAAAATAAAAGTGAAACAAGCTAGACTTGTAACTTGTGAAAAATTCAAAGGCTCTGGGTTCAATCCCCAGTACTGAGGGAAAAGAGAAGGAGAAAGAAAAAGGGGAGGAGGAGGAGAAGCAGCAAGCTGGCCTCACCTCTAAAATGTTGCCTTCCAATACACAATATAATTAGATTATTCATCATGCTTATTCATATTTACTTGTCTGTTGTCTGTTTCCCTCCAATAAATTGTAAGCTTCTCAGGAGAAAGATCTTTGCTTCATTGTCCCAGAACCTATACATGGTAGGAACCTAAAAGCACTTTTTAAAAATGAATAAGTGGGGGTGCATTGGGTACTCCCCTTTCTTTTCCTATCTCTGTAACTCTCGCATTGCAATACTTTACAAGCTATAGTACAATTGACTGAGGTTTGTTTCTCCATAAAGACACACCTTTTAATTACAGGTTTGCCCGTGAATAAATCCTACCTGTCATGTAATGGTTTACTGGTCTGACCATTTCACCAGACTGTAACCCACAAACACCCCTTCGCTGGTCAACCTGGCTGATTGATGTACCCCAGCTCCTGTGCAGTGCCCTGCACAGAGAAATGGCACCTTTATTCAGTGCCAATTTCTCAAGTTTTACATGAACTAATTCATTTAACGCTCACAATATCTCAAAGAGCAGGTGATATTATGATCCTTGTTTTATAGATAAGGAAGCTGAGGCCCTGAGCAGCTAAAAAATATGCCCCATGGCATATAGAAAGGGGCAGATCTTGGATCCTGACCTAGGAGAGCTGGGTCCAGAAGTCAAATTCCAAACTACAGCACTGAATTGCCTCTTCTTGATAGAAAGTAGCCAATAAATAAATAAATCAATGAAATACGGCCTTCCAAAGAGAGAGCATTGTTGAGCTGAATTAGTGAAATGTCAAGATAAGAGAGATTGTAATCCCAGAATTTGTGCCCAGGACAGCTGGGTTGAGGCTCTTTTTTAAGAACACATCAGCCAGTAGAAATGATTTAAAGGCCTAAAGCCAAAATGAAAAATGATCTAGAAATTATAGATCAATTTGAGGAACTACTTAGTTTTTCAGGAGTAGGTATGAGAACTCAGACTCTGTCTTCGAACCTAGTGACTCCCCTGAGAAATGGGTTGTGAGGTACTAGGGGTCCAGGGCCAGAGTTAAGACACAGAGTAAGTCACAGAAAGACAAGATTTCAGCACATAGTGTGGAGGAAACGTAATTGAAAGCAATCAAACTCCAAGGGTCCATCAAAGGATGAATGAAATGCAGTATATACAGCCAATGGGAGTTTATTCAGCCTTGAAAAGGAAGGGAATTCAGACATATGTTACATGGAAGGACCCTGGAGACTCACTAAGTGACCTACAGAAGTCACAAAGTGGCCCTTATTGTATGATTCCACTTACCTGAGCTACCTAACAGAGTCCAGTGGATAGAACTGTGGTTGCCAGGAGCTGGGAGGAGGGAAGATGGGGAGCCATCCTACAATGGGTTCAGAGTTTGAACTTGATATGATAAAAATTTCTGGAGATTACTCCTGGTAATGATTGCCCAGCAGTGTGAATGTACTTAATGCCACTAAATTGTACACTTAAAAATGGTTCCTGGGTTAAATTCTATGTTAGTTTACAATAAAAAAGATTTAAACTTTAAACATTTTTAATTTTAAAAATTAAAAATTTTAATAAAAGTTTATCAAACATAAAAGCAAGGGTCTATCTCCTGAGAAAGTAAGTTTCCCCCAGTGGCTGGAGATCTGGGAAATGTAAGAGCATTCTAGAATTCAGCTGGGAATTGGCCCAGATGGCCCACAAGATTGCTTTCTGTTCTTTCTCCTTTGCTTTCCACAGTTCGGGAGCCCTCACTGTGCCAGTCACCGAGGTGAGCGTGGATGATCTCCTGGACTCTCCTCTGCACCCTAAGCAGAACTAGGGATTGTAGATGAGGCTTCGGGTTCTTGAGGAATTTGCTCAAACGCCTCTCAGGAACACACATGCCCAGCTTCCGAGGACATTGCTAAGGCCAAGATGTCACCGGAGACACAGAAAGCCTCAGCCAGTGTTGGCAGTACTATTCCTATCCTTTCAGGTCAGTTCTTCTAGTTAGCAAAACTTGTTATTTTCATTCCTAATTCCCATGTCAAAGCTTCTGTGCTGCCTCCTTTAGAAGGTGGTTGTAAATGATGGAGTGAGCTCGCCTGTAAACCCAGTGTCCATTTTATAAGCACAGTGTTTTGTGTTCCCCACAGCCTGTAAATTCTTTGAAGCAGAGTCCAGACAATAGAATGAATTTAAGGCACATATGTCATTTAAAATTTTCAAGTAGCTACACTAAAAATGTACAAAAGAATGTGTGAAATCAATAATATATTTAGCCCAATTTAGCCAAAGTCATTATTAATGAGATCTCCCACATTCTTTATTGCTCCTGTCTTTGAAATTGGTATAGACTGTTATTCTGAACAGTACATCTCAGTTCAGACAAGCCACATTTGCACAGCTGTATGCAGCCAGGGACCACCATAGTGAACAGGGTGACAGACTCTTCTTCAAAGGGTCTGCAAGTGAAGCATACAAGGGAAATAAGACTGCATCCTGAAGGACACCAGAGCCAGGGAAAGTTGTACTTCCTACAAGATGCTGATAATGTGTGTCAACTACGGATGATGGGAAGGGGAGGAGAAAAGAAATGACTTCATGGTACTCATGCAACGGGAGTGTGGCATAGACCCAAGACAAAGGGTAACTTTGAGGTCCATGCTGGTTGGTGTCTTCTATAATCTCTTTAAACCTTTTGCTCTTTTTGGGATTTCTCTCCCTCCACCCTTGCTCTCCTCCATTTATCCAATTGCCATTGTTGAGATATTGCCTCCAAAGGGATGGTTCTCACGTCCCTGGCAAGAGTATCCCAGAAGCCACTGCTCAAAAGCAAGATGTGAGAGCAAATCAACTGTCTCTTGACGTCAATTATCTCCTTTGTGAAGTGAGGCTAACAAAGAATGCAAGAATTCAAGAATTCAGTCACTCATTCAGTCAGTCAGTAAAGACCAAGCACCTCAAAAGCACTAAGCATTGCATCAAGCCTGTTACTTACAAAAAACGAGTCTTGTGTTTTATCTTCCCTATAACTTCTGAGGGGTGCCTGCTGCTACACACTGGGGCTCATAGGCTGAAATCTTTCTGTTTCCAAGCCAAAGCCACCTCAGGCAATCAGATGGTGCCTTTGAGTGGAGAGAAAATGATCACCCTTATGGTTTAAGTAATACGTGTCCTCTCTAGACTTATGTATTAAGACTGCTAAACTATAAGCCATTGAGGAGCTCAAGCCATTGAGGCAGCTAGATGGAGGTAGGTCCCTGGGGCTGTGACTCTGAAGAGTATAATTTTTCTTGGTCTCCGCTTCCTGGCTCCCATGGTTTCCACCCCACCTTTCACTAGATGGTACTGCCTTGGAATCGGCAAAGCATGGCTTGAAACCATGAGCCAATATAAGCCTTTGCTTCTTTAAGCTGTAGATGGCTGTTTCATCTCAGGGATGAAAAATTCACTAGTGCAGTCTCTGAGAGGCTGGATCAGAGCTGCTCCTGCTACGCTTCTTATTCTGGAATTTCCTCAGGGCAGCAGCTGAGATAGCTGACCACCGCCATGAGCTCCTCATACCACACACCACAGGACCGAGTCTGTCAGGAAGAAAGACTCAACAAAGCAAAATCCCTGCCCTCACCTTCCCATCTGGACCCCTCAGTGTAACCGCTCAGTTCTTGGGGGCAGCACAAGGCTGGCCTTGAGGAAAGCCCAGCTTTCCTCTGCCATTGACTGGGGAGCTCCACACAGGGCATCAGCACTGTGCAGGCACCTGCAGATAGAGGAGGATGCGTGGGCCCACAGAATCTGACTGCCAGCTATCACAAGTGGCAACATTTCAACCACAGAGGGGAAACGAATGGGTTGGTGACAAGGCTTTGGAGTCTGGAAGTCTCTGAGGTGTCTGTCCATTCAGGAATGAAAAAGGAGGCAATGAGTTAAGGCCTCCACAGGCCGTGGTCTTATGGGTTCATGGAGCTGTGATGTGCAGGACTCATGAGCACTGACAGCTACCAGCATTCCCAGGCCTTCACTGGATGGGTGGGCCCCCTTATTTTCCCCAGGTCTGTGCTCACCAGGTAACCACCTGACCCCCTTCCAGCCTCCATAAGGATTGCTCTCCAGAGAGGGAAGGCGGGGAGGCTGCAGGCTCCAGTAATTCATTCCTCGCTCAAGTCGTGGCTGGCTTGGCCTTCCAGTACCACCTTTGAATCTTGTGGGTTTGATAAACACAAACCACTCCTGAGAAATCAAAGTCCTCTAGGGCACCCACCAAACAGGCTTTGGAGTCCAGAAGTCTACAGAGGCCACACCCTTGGCTCTGTGTGGCCAGTCACCAAAGGTGCTGGTGAAAGCTGTCCAGCAGGAAGTGGCTGAGCCACACCCACCAAGTGGCCAGCCAGAGTGGCTTGCACACTTGACAATGGACATCTGCGTACCTTTCAACTGAGAGGCCCTCAATTGTGCTCTAGAGCTACAGGGCTCTGTTCCCTTGGTACGTCTGGTTCTCTTTTCTACCGTAACCATCAGAGAAATTAAAATAGTGACCCTGTCCAACCCCTCCTTGGGCCAAAAGACTCGTTTTAAAATCCATAAACAATGCCAGCTGAAGGCCTCCTCTGTAGTTCTCTCCAAGACAAGCATAGTCTTGAGTGAGTAGTGCCCCTCTGGGATCCTTCCTAAGGTCCATCTCTGTCTTGGCTTCCAGCTACTTGAACACAGGAGCAAGAGACAGTTGCATACCCCAACACTCAGCAGGGTCATCTGCGTGTCTGCTGAGGACTTATTGTGACAGCAGTCAGATGTGCTGTACCCAAGAGAAAAGCCTTCCCCACAGGTCAAATCACTGTGGTGTCCCAGGAATCCAGCTGGGACAAGAGGCATCTCATTCTGTAAGGGAATGTCCAGCACAAGTGACCAACTTGTGGAAAGGGCCCTTCATGGGCACAAGGAGGAGCTGGCCTATCCTTGATATGTTCCTGTACCATAGTGACCTGCCCAAGAGGCTCATCCAAAGAGCGTGAATGCATGTATCTTGGGTTTGCTGGGCCCTTTCGGGTTGATTAGGAAGAGGGTGGGGTCAGCCCTGTATCAGAGCCATCTGCTCTTAGTCCAGGACACGTGTGGGGAGTGAGATGGCTCAGAGGGCTGTGAGTATGGCAGGATAAGCTGGGAGGGACCTGACTCAGGGACCCACACACCCCACAGCCCATTATTGGGTGGCAGGTATTCTGTCTAGATCAGTTTCAAATATTTGAAAATGTCTTGATCTAGATTCAAACATTTCAAGGGGGTGTTAAAATAAAGTAGGGCTGCTTAAGACTCACTGGACGTTAAAACACAGATTCCCAAGTAGCACTCCCAGATATTCTAATTCAGTAGGTCCAGGCAAGACCCAGGGATCTGCCTTTAACAGTTCTCACCATTGCCACACTCTCTCAGCACCTCTGCATACACCCCAAGGTGTGTGCCAGTGCAAGACTGGGGAATCTCACTCTAAGAAAGTCTGTGATGTAGAACCTGGGCTTAGGAGCTGAAGCCCTGGACTTGGAAGTAGCTGTGTGACCTTGGATAAATGCCTTCGCTTCTCTGGACCTCCATTCCTGTGTCAATAAAATAAGAGAATTGACCATTAAGGCCCTTGCCAGGATGAATATCATAAGAGTCCGGGCACATTCACAGCGCCCTACTAAAGCAGTGGTTGTTTTGAATCTCCAGTTGCAGCAGCCTGACTGCAGACTGAGTTATACCATGAAAAGGATCAGTTAGGTTGATCCAATTCCCTCATTAGGGCTTAGGCATTTGAGGGAAGACAATGCTATGCTCCAGCCCAACACATTCCTCTGCCTCCCAGAATAAGTAAGCACTCTTTGAGCATTATCTGTTTCCAGGACCTGTAAGACCAGACTTCAGGCAGGGTGAAGGGTGAGCTCCCCCTTTGCTGGTGGGACCCTGAGGCACAGGCAGCCCTCTCCCACTGATTCTCAGGCTTTCCCCTTGCCACACCTTCATGGGAGAACGCTGAGTTACTGGTAAGCCAGGGATGACAGCACAGTCCCCAGTCAAACTCTCTCTGGCATTTTGCGAGTTTTGTGGCATGAATACATAGCAGCAGTAATTGCACAGTTCCTGTGCTTTTCAGGAGGACAGCTCTCCTTCTAGAAGGAATTTGGATAGACACCCTTCTGCTTTCATTAGCCCTGGGCCGCCTCAGCTTCCTAGTGACATCTAATGAGCTGTAACTTCCTGCACTCAGAGGCTGGGATTCAGTTGTGAGTGACCTCCCCGTGAGACAGCCTCGTGGGACTGTGTGGAGAACAGGAAAGAGCAAGGTCATACGGGAAGCAAAGCCCTTACCTGTGAGAGCAGAGCTTGCTGTTCACATTTCAATTCCCTTCCCTTCTTCCCCTTGCTTTTTGCAAACAGCAACCCTAAGATTAGAGCTCTGCGCTATGCAAACCCCACTGGGCCCCTTTCTCAGCTCGCCTCTCTCTAGGTAATGACTTACTGAAATTGTGGCTTACTGAGTCTATTAATAATCACTTGCTACAACTTGGGAGATTCCTGTGTACGAAACCACTAAGTCTCCCTGCAGATCCTTCAGCCTCCAGTTTGTGTCTTAACACAGGGTTAGTCACACATCTATTGCATCTATGGGTAACCAGCAGCGCAAACCCAGTGCCAGTGGCAAAATCTTTGACCTCGTAGAGGTCACAGTGTAACAAGAAACAAAGCTGTTCTTTTCCTTACTTCTTACCATCCTCAAGACTTGAAGCTGGCCCTTCAAACACCACTAGAAACTAGAAAGCAGTTGAAGAAGTAGAAGGCTAAGGAGGAAGAGGAGAAGGAGAAGGAGGAGAAGGAGAAGAAGGAGGGGAGAAGGAGAAGAGGAAGAGGAAGAAGAAAACAGAAGGAGGAGAAAGAGAAGGAGAGTTATGAAAGACAAAATTAGTGTGGTGTTGTGGGTGTGTGTGGGTGTGTAGGTATGGGTGTGGGTGTGTTTAATCTCAAGGAATCTTGGTGTGAGCCCTCCAAATGATTATTTTTTTTTTCTTTTTTTTTAATCGGTACCGGAGATCGAACTCACAACCGCCTGCTTGCAAGGCAGGTACTTATGCTGCTGAGCTAAATCCCCAGCCCCTCAAATGATTATTTTAATAACGATTCCAGAATGTTAACGTATAAACTCATGGCCGAGTTGCATGCTGGGAATGACACTGACCAGGCAGCCTGCAGAAATGGCCAAGTTGGGAAAATGAAGAATATTAAGTCCTGGGCATTCTAGTTCAGAAGGCAAGAAATAAGACAATGGACTCCATGAAGATTTCCCTCCAAACTGTTGCAATGTAAAAAGTGTTAAGAGGCTAAAAGGATAAATCCTCAATTATCTGAGAAGATTCAATCCCAGAAAGCAGCTACATTTAATTGGAGTTAAATATTCATTGTACACTGATCAGCTGAAACTTTGCGGTGTGCTGGGCAATTGGTGGTAGGCCACGGGTGAGCAGAGTGAAATATTTACCTCAATCTCCTCACCGGCCTTGGCTTAATGAATCCTGGAACCTTTTTCTATAGTTCAAAGTTTGGAGACTTATTTAATTTTGCAATGAAGTCTGCCACCCTCCCAAACACAGTACTAAGTGTGTCTGTCTAAGAGGTGAGAATGACGGTGATTATATACTTAAGATGATCCTTTAACAAAGTTAGGACAATTTTTTAAACTTTAAGCAATTCTTTAAAAATAACTGATTTATTATTGTTATCATTGTCACCATCATCATCATTATCACAAATGTGATAGACAAACATTGTGGAAATTGTACTTTTATAAGGAACACAGCAAAAATCACTGATAATCTCATTCCCAAACCATAATACTGTGAATTGCGTGTCTTTAATCTCTCGTGTTTCAAATCATTCTAACTGATCAAGAGATTTGTAGATAAACGAATCTTTTAAACAAAGAGGCATTAAATTCAAAACTGGATTACCCACTGACACCCACCATCCTCACGGTGACCATCTGCTGGGGGGTCTGGTGTGTTTCCTGTCAGAATTTTATTGGCACTATGTATCATTTCACGTATAAAAATTACACAGCATGTTTTGGGTGTTGAATAGAGTTGCACTGTGCAGATAAACCTGACCTCCCCCACCCTAGGTTAGTAGACACCTAGGATGGTTACAATCTTTCCTGACCAGAAATTGCTACAGTAACTAATTCTCCTGTGCCTCTATTCTAAATTCTGACAAGAGGATGTGGTGGGTCAGAGGCAAGGCCAGATTACCCTCACTGATTCAACTATGAAACCAAAGTATGAAAATTCCCTCCTCCCGGCATTATTGCAAATGTAAAAAGCATGTTGTTTCATTGTTAGTACTGTGTGTTTATGGCAGTTTCCAGTTCCCCGTGTGTGAATTACCTATTCCTATCCCCAGCTCATTTTTCTAAAGAGGATTTGTTCTTTTCTTACACACAGGTCATATTCATTCTTTTTCACAGACATTGCAAAATCTTCGATCTTCAGTTGGTCGTCAACAATCTCTGGGGTGTCTTATTACAGAGCTCAGTTGCTTATGATGTAGGTGTTTGTTTACTCCATTAAATTTTTCAGCTTGTACTGTATGAGCTTTGCTTCCTATGACGTATTTAAAGTTTTTATATTAAAGAGGGAGATCTTCTGCCAGTGGAAAGGAGGCCAAGAGAAGAAGGGAGAGGTGAGGGAACAGATGGAAAGACATGTAAAAAAAAACTGAGATAGATTGTGTGCACGTACTTACTTCTCACAATGAATGTCAGCCTTAAGTACTGCAAACAGTACTAATAAAAATAAACAACTTTTTAAATAATGAAAAAATAAAAATAAATAAAATTTTATATTAAGAATTAGGTTTTAATTCATTGAGACAAAAATTCTGTGTATTTTGTAAGCTAGAGACTGTTATTTATTTTGCTACAAATAACTGATTCTCTATATATCATTTATTAAACAGTTCGTTTTCCACCCATTGATTTAAAATGTTGCCTGGATCATATACATTTCATAATATTATTTTGGAATTTGTTTGAGGAAATTATGTTATTGATTTATTTATACTCTTGACCTATAATAAAATGAGACTGATTTCATTGTGCTAGGGACGTGTGTGTTCATATGTGTGCGTGTGAATGTGTCTTGGCACATATGTGTATATATATATATATATATATATGTGCATTCATGTATATGTTGTTCCAAACTGCTATTGTTTTTACAAACTGCTGTTTTTATTTTTAAAACTCCAATAGGAAGATGAATAAAATCTGATAGCCATACCAGGGAATACTATAGTGCAATTTTTAAAACTAAATCTATACATGTATCAGTTGGGTTAATTTCCCAAATGAAATGTTGACTGAAAAAAACTACATAAAAATACCACGGAGAAGCCAGGCATGGTGGTTCACACCTGCAATCTCAGCACTTAGGAGGCTGAGGCAAGAGGATCATTGCAAGTTCGAGACCAGCCTGGGCTACAAAGTGAGCTCAAAGCCAGCCTGAACTGCATAGCGAGACCCTGTTTCAAAAAGATTTTTTAAAAAATACCATGAAGACTACCATTGACATAAAGTGAAAAATACAGAAAAAAATATTCAATATAGTTTAGCAATACTATGTAAGTAAGAAAAAGAAAAATCATACAAGTGATAAAAACCAAATTTGGGGTCATTCATCGACTGTGAAGGAAAACAAGAAGCCAACAAAAAACCAAGCCCTTCCTGCAAGATGGGCACCACGCAGGCCACCAGGAGGAGAAGCAGATGCCAGCCCCTTCCAGCACTTAGGACTGAAAGACAAGAAGAGCCAATGCCCCGCCCCCGTAAGTGACCAGCTGATCAGGAGAAACACAGGCTGTGATGATAGCTATTGAGGTGAAATACAACTTAATGCTTGTAGTGTTTAATGCTTCACTGACTTTTCAGGCTTAAAGTCTGATTATCTATTTAGAGGATAATAATACACAATGGAGCATCTATGGGGGATCTCCTCCTTCTGAAGGTGATGGCCATTGTTAACTCCCTGTTATCTTGTTTTGAAGCCCTGTATCATTTATTTGATTGGGTTGTATTCTTTTCTGTCTTGTTTGATTTTATTATATCTGATGGCATGGACAGCTATTTTAAACATAACAAGATAAATTATGCTAACCATTTGGGATTTACTCTTATCTTGTTTTGAAGTCCTGTATTGCATTTATTGTTTTGTTTTTACTGGTTCTATTCCATTCTGTTTGCTTGATTTTAACATGTCTGAAGATATGGGCAGCTATTTTGAAGACAACAAGAGGCATTATGGTAATCATTGTTGATTTCCTTTTATCTTGTTTTGAAATCCTGCATCACAGTGCTTTCTTTTGAGTGCCTTTATTCTGTTTGATTGTGCTTGCTTTTATTCTCTTTAAAATAAAAATTACCAAAAAAAAACCCACATTTGGAATTAAAAGTAGATTCACCATGAAATTTAAGCTCAGGCCTCTCACTCACATGACCTCTTTCAAAGGCCTATACTTTAATTCTTCCTTTTGTACCTTTTTTTCCCCTTAAGAGAGGCTCTCCCTTTCCCTCAGATCATGTTGGCTTCAGGCCTATGGGGAAGAGGAAGAGGAAAGGAAAAGGGGGACCAGAGTGCAGGGAGTGAAGGAGAGGAGAATAAAGGAGATGAGAGGGGAAAGAGAGAAGGAGCAAAAGAGAGGAGGGAGCCCCAGGACCAGGAGTGAGAAGCAAACAAAGCGTTCACCAAGGAGCAGGCCCTGGAAGGGCCTGGACTTGCGCTCCCCGACCCTGGAGATGGGGTAGTAACTATAGAGAGCCCCACTCACAGCTCTATCCCACGCATACCCCCGGCTGGGGCAGAGAGAAGGGAAGCCAAGTAATGGTGACAGTTCCGCAAGTGCTGCCAACAGCTGCTCTACACACCTTGGCTGAGGACAACTCCTTCTACCCAGGGGACCACTCCAGCCCTTGCAGAGCTGGCGGCTTGCACAACTGTCCAGGAGGCCTTTGGGTAAGTAAGTGCCGAGTGACCTGGAGTGAGGTCACGGAGCCCACCTGGGACACCATGCACCCTGGAGCCCAGTTCCCTTCCTGTTCAAGACTCAGCCTCACTGAAAACTTACACCATTAAAACAAAGGAACAAAATAAATAACCAACAGTTACCCCAACACCAGTGACAGGAGTACACAGGGTGACCCACGCCCATGTTGCTGTGTGATTAGCGATTCTTCCACAGCCTTCATAATAACTGCAGCGAGCTCCCCTCTGTGGATGTGTCCAGTCGATCTAACCCCTTACTCTAGTCACACACACAAGCAATACTGCGGCATTACTCTGCAAGCTAAACCTGATGCACAGTCCTCATGATTTCTTTATAACAATTCCCTTCAGTGGACTTTGTTTGTTAGAGAAGTTTTGAGGCTTCTGAACTCTATGTATTGCCAAACACAGCTCCCAAAAGACTGCATCAGTGCATACTTATGTGTTAGTACATGAGTGTGTCATGAGCATGTCCACTTCCTCCAACTGGCGCTAACCCTAATGTTTACATTCGACAAAAACACATCGTCCAGCATGGTCCAGTCAGGTGTGGTGGTACACGACTATAATTCCAGCACCCAGGAGGCTGAGGCAGGAGGATCACTGTGAGTTTAAGGCTGACTTGGGCTACAAAGCAAGTTCAAGGCCAGCCTGAAATGCGTAGCAAGACTCTGTCTCAAAAAGACAAAAGAAAGCCCTCCAACATCCGTTAATAGATGAACAATGGTCTTGGGGACTGTCTGTCACCATTAGTCTTGGTTCATTTCCTCTTCGTGAACTTGGTCATCTTCAGAGACAGTCCAATTGTCTTTCTGAGCTTGTTAAATATTACATTAATTCTTTTCCACTGTGTCGTAAAGATTTTGGTTCTTTCAGGGGCCTCTACGCACATTGTGTTTTTGACGAGATGTTTTATGGCAAAGCAGGTGAGTGCTTTCGTTTCAGATTCTGATTTTTTAGAAGGCCTCTTATTCTCCAAAGGAGACATAAGTCTCACCCGTACCTTCCCCCAGTATTTCTATGGCTTACCTGTGAATTCTTTGATTTTGAGTCCAGAAGTCTTTACTTTTTTTGTATCTAGAACTCTTTCTTCTTTTAAACTGATGTCTATTCTTTTGCAGGCATTAATTATTGTAGCCACAGCAAAAGCCATTTCTAGTGGTAAGTCAGCATAGTTTTTTCTTTCTTTTTTCCTGTTTGTTTCTTTGACCTTCAGCTTCATTGTATTTACATGTTCATTCCTCCAGAACCACGTTGCAAAATTTACTTATTTATTATTTTATTTTTGTAATAATGAGGTTTGGATCCAAGCCTTTACACTGGGTTTCATTTTCATCCCCAATCATTTTTCTTTTCTACTTTTGTTTTTGTTTGTTTGTTTTGTGGTATTGGGGATTGAACTCACTACCTTGTGTTTTCTAGGCAGTCACTCACATCACTGAGCTAAATCCCAGACCCTTATTTTCTGCGTTGAGATGGGCCTCTGGCTAAGCTGCCCAGGATGGGCTCAAACTTACACTTCACCTGCCTCAGCCTCACAGATATGGAGATTACGAGTGTGTATCACCAGGCCTGGTTTTTTTTTTCATCACCTGTAATACTAGGAGTGTTTACCGTGTCATTAATATAATGGTGCATGAGTAAAGAAACAAGAAAATTTTCTGAAATCTGAAATTAAGAAGAATACAAAGACATCGAAAAGTAAAATACTGAAAGTAACCCAGGAAAATCATTCCTGGGTCCCACTGGTTCACTTTAATTCATTTTTCTCTTTTGTAAGCAGACAAAAAGTCTAACTGGCACTGAGAAATTTTAGAAATATCCTTGGATAATTCGTGGCGCCTAGAATTCATATCCCAGAGAATTATGGAGTGACCCAGGCTTCTCATTCATCCGCCCACCACAAGAGCTGGCTGTGTCACTTCTCCTGCGGGCTGTCCAGCCTCTCTTGGGCACTGCCTGAAGAGGCCCTGACTAAGTGTCTTCCTGACTGCTTACTGACAGTCACGTGTCCATTAATAACAGAGATGCCTTCTGAGAAACATGTTGCTAGGCAACCTCAATGCTGCCTGAACCTTGGAGATGTTACACAAACCAAGACAAAGATGGACTACTGGGTGGCAGACTCTTGCGGGGCCACCACTGTTTATTTGGCCCATGGGTGACTGACTTGTTGTTAGGCAACACATGGCTGGAGGCCTAGTCACCGGTAGGTTGTTACTTCTCCCCCCAAGTTCTAGTGCTGTCTTTTAGAACCAAGCTAACCTTTCACTGATTTGAAGGTGGCTTTTACAGTCCCCTCTAGTAGCTTTGTCAGGCTAATTACTCCTGATTCTTTACAAACTCCCCTTTAGAACATCTCCTCCAAAAATTTGCACAATAACCTGTGTTTCTTTTAAAGGTGAGTCCCAGAGGGTACCAGTTTTACAGATTCCTTTTGACTGCAGTACACTGAGAGACTCTTTCTTCTGCAGGTTTTAAATGAATGCATAAGATCATGCATTTGGGGGATGACACACTTGGGCTTTAGCTCCTCTTTGGCTCTCTCATGGGCAAAGCAGCTCACATAAACTGGAGGGCAGGTGTCAGAGGGAACGCAATGAATTCTTAGCTTGGTCCACCACAGGCACAATTTGGAAGAAGGAAAGCAGGCCTCTTCCAGAGAAGACTGAGGCATCCAGGTTGGGGAGTTAGGAGTGCTGTGGAGGATCCCACACCCAGGGAAGGAGAGTGCCATATGTAGGGCCTGCTCTAGGTACCAGGCTCCACATTGGCAAAACATTGGCTAACCAGCCTTTGCAGCTTTTAGTCTTGCTTCCTGTTTCTCAGCCTTTTGGGAGACAGTGAGAGCTTAAATTGCTTGTGTCTCTGCCTCAGCTGCACACTGTGGGGGAGGGGGAGACATGCAGAATGGCCTGGCTTTCTCCATGCCCACTGGCCTGGACAGCCAGTGCCTCCAGGCAGCTCTGCTCTACTTCACAATTTGTGAAGAGCTCAACTCCCCCGAGGCTTTGCTCCTCCCTATCTCGTTTCTCGGAACCTAGGCCAGGGGGGTGATTACACCCCAGGCTGGCTGTGTCCCCATGATGTACGCAGGAGGCTCCCCACTCCGGAGCCTCTTGATCCCACAGAGAAACTGGGGGCCCCTAGAGCTGTCTGGACAGCTCTCTCCCGCCACTGCAGACCTGAAATAGCAGGAAAACTAGCCAATGGGCCCTGCTCAAAACCCAGAAAGCAGCCTGTGCCCACAGCCACGTCTCAGTTTTCTGTTACCCTAAGTCCTGCCTTGGGTCTTAGCGAGTGAACCAACTCTGGGAGCAATCACCAGTGTACCGGGCAAGGAAGAGGCTGAAGGAAGCTAGCACCTCATTGGCCAGAGAGGAGCATGTGACCCGAGTGCCAGCACTTCCGCCAGCACCTCCGAGCTTTCTCCAGCCTCTGCTTTGTCACGGGCTGCCCAGCCCCCTCACCTTTTGGGCATGCGGGTTGTTAATCTGTCTCTTGGAATGTGCAAACCATTTTGCAGCAGATTGTGTATATCATCTTACACTGCTATTCTTCCTGCAAATTCAGTCGCAGAAGAAATGCAAAGCAGCCTGCTTTTCCCTCACTTTGGCCCGGCAGTACGATAGCGAGGAGGTTTTGTGGGAGAGGTGTTTTCTCTCTGTTGGGCTCAACTGGCTGGAAAGTAGGTCTCTCTCCGCAAAACCCAGTACTAGGTCATAGTTATAAAAATAGATGTGTCGGGTGGGTGGCAGCATCCTGCATCCAGCCTATAACAGTCTCCCCAGAGAAAGGATGTGCCTGGGGGAAAAGAGGCCTGCTCTGTCACACCAACCCTCCCCTCCCTGTGGAGCTCCGCTCTGCTCTGGGCAGTGGTGACTCCACGCAGGCCACCTTCCCCTCCCACCCAGCCTCTGCAGTAGCCCTCCGAATAACCACTGCCTGGCTCTTTTTTAACTTTTCAAGGGTCTTTGTTCTCCAACCTCCACTGTTTCCCTTACTGTTCATTCTCAGGCTCAGTATGAAAAATAACATTCTTGCATGAGCAACCAAACCTACGAGGCAGCTCTGAGACAAGCCATTAGGAAGAGCCAGGCAAAGCAGAAGTAGCAGAGCCTCAGTGGTGTTGGATTTGTTCAAGTGTTCAATGTTCCTGCTTGGAATCTCCCCCAGAAAGGTTTTTATAAACTGTGCACTGAATTGAGATGTATCTCTCTCCCAACACTTTTAAAACATTTTAGCATAAAAAGGGAGGCTCCTCTGTATATCCAAACTCCTGGCTTCTGCAAATTCAGCTCAGGGCTGATCACTTGTTCTCCAACTATTCATTATTACTTCCCAAGCAGGGCTTATTTTGACACAAACAAAGCCCATCGTGTCATTTTATCTTTAAAAATACAGTATGTGCCTCTCCAAAATAATGACTTGTTTTACAAAATCACCTGCTTGCTTTGGCAGAGGTGCCCTGATCACTGTGAACTCCTGCTGATGCCCTGTACCTCACGGTTCTCCAGGACTTCAGACTCTGGCTTCACACCCACCCAGGCACACAGCCCCTTTCCAGAAGCCTTCCCAAGACCACATGGCTTCAAAATAAAGGCATAAGCTCTGAAAATTCAGTTCCACCACCGAGCTCTACCACTCCATAGCTCAGTGACTATGAGAGAGATGGTAACTTCCCACTGCCTCAATTTTCTCTTCTAAATCTGACTTAATAAACAGTGCTGGCATTGGTAGGCTGTTGTAAGGATGAAATATATCAAAATAATACGAACTAATGACATCCAGGCAATGGAATATTACTCAACACTACAGAGACATGAGCTCTCACAGCATGGAAATATATAAAGGACAGATAAATGTCATTCATAAATGACAGAAGCCAGATTTTAATTAAAAGGATGCTGAAGATATTTGGTGTATTGTTGTCAATACACCAATACACTTTGTTGTTATAAATGGAAAAATATAATACAGGACACATAATTTATAGGATCATTTTATAATATTCATCCAAAAAGTCAAATATAAAAGAGTGAGTGGAGACTCAAATGATCTAGCTGAGGTCCTGGATCCCATGGCAATGTCCTGCACAAATCCAGCTGAAGACCTAGAGCCCATGGTAATGTCTCATGCAAGGTTGTATCAAGGATCTGCCCTGGGAAGGCTCAGAGGTCAGCAGTAGAAGCTAGAAAGTCTGTGCCAGTGGGATGCAGGAGCTGTGCCAGCAGGCTGAGGGATCTGCACTTGAGCCAGGAAGCTACGCTCAAGGTAAGGACCAGAGCTCCCCTGAAAAGAACTGCAGCCATCCTCAGTGACAGCCAGGACCAGAGCTCCTCCAACCATGAGAACAGCTGAGTTCATGTCAGGAAAATCAGAGTGACAGCTTCTCCAGGAGAATCAGCAGAGCGCCATCTTCCCCTCCAGTTCTCCTCTCATGCTGTTGGCAGCAATCCTCAGGTGGGCCTCCCGCACCCAGCACCATGCTGATTCAGTTCAGCTGGGTGTTCCAAGTTGACCATTAGCTAACCTATACATGTATATTTAAAATTTTTCAAAGTATATTACAGTAAAAAAACTCAGTGACATTAATCCCCCTCAGAAAACTCCCCCTTGCTGCAAACACACTTATCCAGTTCCTGCCACTTTCTGAAGCTGCTCCAGAAGTCTTTTGTGAGCATTTCTACGAGGTGTGATCAAAAAATACAGCTAATGCTGCCCGCCAGATGCCATCCAGTGAAAATGGAGGCTTACAAGAGCACCACAGTGTGTGCTTATTCCCTTATTCTCTGGCTGTGGCACCACGTGATCTCTGGCTCTTCCCCAAAGCTAAAATGACTGTGAAAGAGAAATGTTTTGAATCAACTCAGGACATCGAGGCAGCCACAGCAGCACAACTAAAGGACAGCAAGAAGGAGCCAGAAAGGAAGCAGCTGTGGCCCCGAGTGTGTCAGGTGTGAGGGTGGTACCCCAACAACCTGCAGGGGTGGCCCGCCATGTACCAGCTGGGCTCTGCAGACAGCTGTGCCTCTGCAGATTGCCATGCACAGTCATCTCCCGGCTGCAGAGACACAGCTGTGAGGGAGGAGTGAGCCCAGGGGACAGATGTGTCCTCAAGTGATAGCAGCCCCAGCGGGCAGATCTCTTGGACCTCCCTGATCTGCCTGCCTGACAAATGTGTCTACAACAAAATAAAACAAGTGGGGGTGGGGAAAGAAACAGAAACGGAGAATGTGAGAAAAATGTCTCTAGATAAAGCAGATACATTTGCTGGGCACCCATGGAGAGACAGTAGAGAAACTGGGCAATCCAACGGGGCATCCCGCTGTGGCCCAGGGTCCCAGTTTCAAAACCCAGTACCCCCTTCCCCAGCCAGTGCCCCTCTAGTAAGAGGAGAATATGACCCATAGGGTGACAAAAGGACCTCTCAAGACCTCTGCCTACTAGTTACAGAAGTGCAGGCTACCTGCCTCCTACGTGGGCCCATTTGGATCTGATTGTCGGAGCAGATGGTTATCACCTGCGGCTTCCAGTAAAGAAACACCTCCCGGCTCAGCAATGTCAACAGCAAGCTCAGAGCTAGGTAGCAGCCTCTGCCCTATTCCTGTGTATGTCACATTGATGACAGTGCCGACAGCCCGAGAAACTGTCACCCACGGTTGGCCTTTCTGCAGGCCCACACAGCCCGGAGGGCTGTCATGGGTCTGTCCATTTACTGTCACAGCAAAATGGGCTTTGGGGATCTTTTTCCTTCCCAAATAGAATGGAACCCAGAGACATATCAGTGGCTCATGGCCACTAAAATGTCACATGCAGCTCTGACAGCTCTAGAGGTATCCTGAGGGCACTTGAAGACCATCACTCACCTGTCCCTGCAGTGATTTCAAGGCAAGAAGACAGAAGAGGCACAGGAATTTGGGCAGTAGGAAAAAATAACACATACTTGCTTCACAGTTTCTTAGGCTTTCCTCTGTGGCTTGCTACCCCACCCTTACACCAGCCTCCGTGGGGCTTTGTGGATGGATTGAGGTTTAAGTGCACCTAGCACAGGGCAAGATATGAGAAGGCAAAAACCAGAATAAGGCGTGGTATTGGGGTCCCCAAAACCAGGGGTGGTGGTGACAGGAGCAGCTCAGACAACAGAACTGAGCCAAGTGATGTGGCAGAGTCTGGGAAATGGGTTCATTGCAAGTTAGCACCACTCCCTCCACAAAAACCAATAAACTGAGTCCAGGTAGGGGTCAAGAGTGCCAGGAGACGGTGGTGTTTGCCTGAGGATGTGGGAGCTGCAGGATGAGCACCTGTGCTGTGACCGGGGTGCCTCACTGGCCTGCACCCTAGGGTCAAACTGCAGCCCGTAGCAGCCAAGGCTTTCATAAGTGTCTCTGACAGAGATGACACATGCCCTGCCAGAGGTCAGGCGAGAGAAGAGAAGCCACTAACTGGAACCCAGGTGAACTCTGACAGCATCCGCTTCGGGCAGGTCCACCTGCATCTCAGGGGACCCCATCCACCCTCACTGGCAGAGGAGGGTTCTCTGAATTGACCTACAGTTTCTTGCTTTTGGATGCCAGTTCAAACTTTACATTGTCTCCTGTCACTGATGTCTCCAACTGTCTTTTTTTTTTTTTTTTTTTTGAGATGGAGTCTCACTATATAGTTCATGCTGACCTTGAACTCATAGCAATCCTCCTGCTTCAGCCTTCCAAGTGCATGAGCCACCACATCTGGGTCTTCAACTGATCTTTGAGCTCCAAGTCAATGCTACTAAATGAAAATCTGGAGATGATTTACACTCCATCTTATATTTATCTCTGTCTCTGTCTCTGTCTCTGTTTCTGTCTCTCTCTCTGTCTCTGTCTGTCTGTCTGTCTCTCTCTCTCTCTCTCTCTCTCTCTCTCCCTCTCTTTCCCTCTCTCTCTTTTTCTCTGCTTGAGATAGGGTCTCCCTATGTAGTTCAAATTGGTCTCAAACTCAAGGCAATCCTCCCACCTCAGCCTCTCGAGTACTGGGATCTTTTTAAGTGCATACCACTATGTCCAACACATTTATGTTTCTTTTTTGTATATGTGTCTGAGTGCCACTATGGGCATCAGAAAAATTCTTCCTTTAAATTGTGTATATCAGGTATCTTGTCAATCCTGCCAGCAGGAAAAGAACTATAAACATCCTCCTAAGTGTCTAGATGCCCATGCTCTCTGAGCTGACTATCAATGACCTCCAGGGCACAGATGGTAGCTGCTTTGAGAAGTAGGTGGGTCAGTACCTAGGTTTACGCCAGACTTGAACCTTTGCCTGTGCCAATTAGGACTTGGGATTACACTTTTCAAGCTAGTATTTATCAGCAAAAATATTACAGCCGACACAGTCATTGTTACAAGCTATGATTTGAATAGTCAGTGGTAATTTCAACAAGGTAATGTGTGTAATGAACATCATCTTTGTGAACAACAATTATAAAAGTACGAATACATCTAAGAAATATTTCAAGGCTGACACTCACGTTACCTCCTGGGAGAGGAATGAAAACCAGAGCATGAAGTCTGTTTCCATTTACACGTCCAGATCCAAAACTACTAGTTGAAATAAGATGTTTGCCTCATTAAAAAATTCAGATTTACAAGTTATTTAAATATGAAGTGGATAAATTACATTATTGCCAAACATGTATGTATTAAGTGGCTATGGTTTAAATATAAAACTGTCCCCTAAACATGTCCCAAGGCAGGGTTTCCAGAGGATAACTAGACCCCTCTAACTTCACCAAGTGGATTAATCCATTTACGAAGTCATAATTAGATGGGGTATTCGGGAGACAGCACCCTACCTGAAGGAAGCAGTCATAGGGGCCTTCACCTTGGGTACTGTGTCTAGTCCCTGGCCCCGTCTTCTCTGGCTCTTTACCTCTTACCCTACTTTCTAGCTACCTTGGGGAGCAGTTTGCCTCCCCCATTCCCTTGCACTATGATATTTCTGCCTTGGAGACAACAGACCATGGATTGAAGCCTCTGCAACCATGAGCTGAAATAAGCCTTTGCTTCTTTAAATTGTGTAGGTCAGACATTTTATCCTAGCAACAGAACAGTGACTAGGTAGACACCTCTGTTCAAAACAGAAATCTATAGCTGAATAATCCTTCATCAAAATGGAAGTCAACATGAAATAAATAGCAACTAATTAACTGACTTTTTAAAAATCTTGTTAGCATCCCTTGTCTTCGTTGTATACTCCTAGGCATATCAATAAGTAGCAGAATGTGTATGTAAACCATTGTTATAACTTATTTCTTTAATATTTAACAAAAGCTCCAGACCTGTAACACAGAGTTACACTTGCAAAGCCTGGTCTAGTGCACTTTGGCTTTACTATGTCATTTACAATTATTTCTAATTCAAATATCCAAGAAACAATGTAAACAAACATGACCTTCATGTACAGGAAATGGTCATAAATTATTTATATGTAAGAGAATACCCTTTAAATGCATAAGGTAGTGTTCTCTTAAATAAGAAACACTGCTTCTTTTAGCTTTTCTGAAACACCATCTCACATTCGTGGATTGAAACAGTCTAAACTGATTCTCTTCCCCAAAGCCGGACTCTGAGATCAGTCCTAGCAGGCCAAATTCAAGGTGCTGCCCACAGGTTGCTTTTGGGAGGAGGCTCTGGGAGACAGGCCTGGCAGCTTTCCTGGGCTGTGCCAGAGTCACCTGCACGCTCGCCTCTGGGTCCTCACCTCCCACCTGCCCACCACTTGCTGCGTTCCTCACACCCAGTCCCTTGGTTCAGAACCTTCCTGCCTCCCTTTTCTGAAGACCCTGGGCCTCGCACGGGAACGTACTACACCCTGAGCAGTAGTAAACAGCCCTGCCCCTTCACTCCGTCCTGTACCAACACCCCACATGCAATATATTCAGTACGAATTGCAAACATAGACTCCAAAAATTTTCTAAATGATAAGTTGATCTGAAGAAAGAGACAAAAGCCATCATGATACACAAAGACCTTAGTTACCTTTAGAGCCCACGGGCTAACCCAGGATAATCTCCCTCTCTTGAGAGCCTTACGTAGAGCTCATATTGCATTCTGGGTTCCTGGGACTGGGATAAGGACATCCTGGCGGGGCACTCTGTTAGGCTACTCCAGCTCCCACCTGACCGTGTTTACACCTTGCATTCACGAGTGCCTTCTTTTATGAAAGGTCCAAAATGTATTCTTGATGAGGTGCTGTAACTGTGTGTGGCCTGGTACAGAGGAGGGTGCTGGGATGACAGTGGAGAGGACAGAGTTTGAGTCCCATTGTGTCCTCCCTGCCAGTGGGCAGAGCTGTGAGAAACAGGCCAGCCTGCTTAGCAATCTTGCTTGTGACTCCCAAACTGAGCGCTACTGGTAAATTGCTGAACTCCCTGGGATGTCATTTCACCTACCAGGCAGGCCAGTCTCGAGATTAAGGGGGTGCCTGCAGAGACCTTCCTGCTCCACCCCAGAGGGAAGAAATAAGACTTGACGCTTTTTCTTTTAACTTTCTGAAAGCTGAAAACATCTCAGAAATACAAATAGACATTTTCGTTTGTTTTGTTTTGAGAGGTGAGACATGGAATTCAGAATGGCCTTGAACTCACTATGTAGCCCAGGTTGGCCCTGAATTCAGTGATCCTCCTGCCTCAGCCTCCCGAGTGCTGGGGTAACAGATGCCTGGCTAAATCCACGTCCTTAGAACCACAAAGGAGTGCAGTCCACCTTCCTCTCCTCTTCTCCCAACCAGGTGGAGAGGTGGAGTTTGATGGAGAGAGGAACAGGACAGCGGGAGGAGTGAGTGGAAGATTACATGTGGAATGGCTTTGGGTACGAAGTAGGAGTCAAGGATGCAAAGGAAGATGGACAGAAGAAAATATGGGAAGATAGGAGCTCCTGGACTTCAAAGGCAGGAAGCGATATTTGAATGTGCCTGTTACCTCCATGTCCTGCTGGGCAGGTTACCTCCTGACTTCCAGTGTCCCTGTCTGTGAGTGGACGTAGCCGTGTGCACTCAGCCTCACTTTAATATTCACAAACAGTGGCCATGTGCAAGTCAAGGCAGTGTGTGTGAAGCACCCGTAAATGGCTACAGTCCTCTGAGGTAGCATCGTTAGCAGCTGTCACCGGACACGGTCAGGAGAAGTAAACTTTCACTTTGAAGTCAAAACCTGCCAACTGCTTCAGCCTGGTGAGAATTGCAAGCACAGGGAGGAAAAGAGTTTTGCAACAAAATAATGCACCACCACCAACCACCCCCAGCTCTCCCCTCTGCCCCGGTTCTGCCCTCCATCACTCACCCCTCCAGGGCAGCTGCCATGGTCAGTCCATCCTCCAGCCCAGGTCTCAGGGGCCCATCGCAGTCACTCTCCGAACTCAAACTCCATTTCCGGTTTGAAGGAAATGGTTTAGGAATGACTCACTTGGGGCCTCCCTGCCCTCAGAGAACCCTGCAGTACCTGGAAGCAAAAGGGCCTGGAGCAAGCAATGGTCTCAACTCACGTGGGCGAGGAGTGGACTTACACACTGGGTGTGGGCTGATCCCTAAGGAGTGGAAGTACATGAGCCTCCTCTCCCAGCGCTCTGTGGGGCTCGTGCTTGGGTGTGGAGTCCCGTTCTATTACGGTTTGATTTGCTTTTCCAGCTTTGCCCCAACTCCCTTCTAGGACAGCCCCACTGCCTGAGCCTCAGTTTACCCACCTTCCTGTTAAGTGTGGTACACTCAATTGATCATGGACCAGTAGGATTTTTGAATGTGCTCTTCTAGGACACCACCTTCCTTTCGCAAATAAGTAAACTGAGTCCCAGAGGAGGGAAGTGATTTGGTTAAGGCTACGGCCTGGTCTTCTTTGTGCCTCTGGAGGTGACCAGGCCCCCAGTGAGGTCCTGTAGACACCTGCTGTTTGAAAGGGCTGGATCAGGGAACAAAAGTCTAGTGGATTTTGAAGTCTCAAGTGACCCCCAGACTTTAAAGAACAAGTGCAGGTGTGGGTGGATAGTAGCTCCAGGCAGCCTCTTACCAGCCGGGTGACCTTAGTCTCTTTTTAAACTTTTCTAAACCTCATTTGTAAAATGAGGCAGGAGAAGCCTGAACACATAATGGTGAGATTATGCAGCAAAGCACAAAGCACCGGTGCCTCGCTGCCATGCTGGAGCTAGGAGCTCTGTGAGTTCCAGTGGCTTCGGTGAACAGGTGAGGAGGAGTGGTGGGGTGACCCAGCCCAGTGCACCTCGGGCTCATGCATCTGTAAGTAACCAGCAAAGCCATCTCATCACCAAGGCAATATGGTGGAAGGTGCTCTGGGAACCCCAGTGGCAGATGACCACTTTCAGAAACTCCAAGACACCAGTGGGTGCTTGGCCCACCTTTGCCTGTGTCCCTCTAGCTGTGACTTCCCTGGCCACAGAGCCCACAGCTGCTCCCTGCAGCTGGCTCCTCCAGCTGCCAAGCGTGGGGCTTGCTCCCCACTCCAGCAAGGCGTGCAGGGGACTTGGAGGCACACCAAGATGCAACTGGGCCGTTGAGATAAGAAGGGCTGTGACAGTAACTGTGTGGGCCACTCTCATGGTGGAACTTGGGTGGCCGTCAAGCCGACGTATGTTGACAGAGCCTGGGGAAGATGGCCCCTCTCACCCCTGAAGAAAAAACTGGCAGAGAGTTCAATTAGCTGCACGGTACGGTGACGAAATCTCACCTCAGGCATCAACCAGACGCCAATGTGTAGGAGCCCAGAACATGGCTTTTGGCAGGGTGGCCCTGGCTGACAGGCAGTTTGGCAGGTTGTCTCTGCTCCTGAAGCAACTGCTCTGCCAGGTGTCACTCCTGCGGCGCACCCTGGCCCTCCTGGACCTCAGCTTGTCACTCACTGAAGCACATCGATGCCAATTTTACTGAGGAAGAGCTGGCAGGAGGAAGGGTGTGAGCCTTGGAGTCCAGAAAGTTCAGTTCTGAGAACCACTGCCTTGTGCACACAAGGGTTCTTTTCTAGCCTCAGTTTCCCCATCTATGAAATGAAACGCTGATCCTGCTAGTCAGCTCTGGCCGTACTCAGAAACGAGAGGTTGAGTCTCCTATAGAAAGTGGTTATTGTTCCTCCTAGTGGTTTTCCAGGAGTTGTGAAGCTACCAGGGAGGCTCTTAGCAGGGCTTTGGATGACAGAGCTCCCACACAGCTTTTGGGGAGCATGTGTGGCCCTGCCACTTCCAGCCAGCGTGGCCCCTCTTTGTTAACTGCAACCCGGGTGTGGGTGTGGTGGTAACCTGGGATCCTCTCGCCAGAGGGAAATCAAGCTTTTCCCTCGAATCAGAGCAGGCAGCGAAACACTGCTCCAGAGGTGGCGGGAAGTGCAACCTGCCTGATTCAGATCTGTGCCATCTGGGCCACCAGCACTCGGAGTGCGCACTCCTTCTCTTCCTTATCGTCTGTTCACTTGAAAATGCTGTTCCAAGATGTTGCCAGGTAGACACTTCTGTGGACAGGAAGGGAGAAGGCCCAGGAGGAGGCAATGAGGAGAGCAAAGGGTAAGGGGCAGCATGGGAGGCTTCCTGGCAGGATGCTCAGGGCCGGGGATTCCAGTGCAGGAGGGAAGGCAGCTCCGGAAACCCAGGGAGCTGTGACCAGGCCTCTGCGCAGCTCGGTTTACCCAAGGTGTTCCTCACCGGAGACCAGAGTGGGGAGCTCATGCCTGAGCAGCTGCAGCCCAGCTGTGACACTCAGCAGGTGCTCAGAAAATCAGAGCACCAGGTCAGGGCTTCTGGCAGCCACCAGTGTCCCAAAGGAAGCCCGGTCTGGGTCCAACCAAGGTTCATAGTCCTGAAGGCCAACTCTGAGGCCTCAAAGGGCATTGAGTGCTGTGGGCTCAGGAACATGCTTGGCACAAGGACCCTGCAGTGGGGTGGTTGATCATGGGGTCCGTTCAGCAGTTCAATAGCAACATGTTCTCTAAGAAATGTGCCTTGAAGAAATGTTCCAGGCCCAGCTTTTCCCATTCTCAGACACTATGGGGAACAGAGAGAGGCGTTCACTTCTGCCATCATTTAAGTGCCAGGCTGTGGTTGTAGTGTTGACGAAGAGGGATAGACAAAGATCAAGACAAGAAAAACATTTAGCCAGTTTACACAGTGGGCTGGTACCTGCAGAGGGAGGGCCGGGCACTGCAGCTCAGCACAGGCTGAGCATCTGACACCAAGATGCTGGCTCAGCAAGGGCTTGGAACCGTCCATTGGATCTGCCATTGCCTAGCCCTGTGGTTATAAGGAAATCTCTTAGTCTCTGCGTCTCACTTCCTCCTCTGTTAAACACGGTAACAGTACCCGTCACATAGTGTCCACACCTCCTGCTGACAAGACGCACTGCCGTGCTCTAGGTAACAAGACTGGCCTGACACAGGAACTCAGCATGCTACTCGCACCCCGCATCATTAGCAAAAGGTCCAGGCTGACCGAAGCACCCTTAGGGATGCAGTAGGAGGAGGTGGCAGTGTCTTGCACAGGGAATGTCTGGGGTGGGGTGGGGAGCCTGCTGGAAATAGTGAGCAGTAGAAATCTTCCTTCCTGCCCCTCCGGGGTCTCGGGAAGCCCTAGGCGAGACCCAAATTCTGAGCTGGGCTTCAGGACCTGCACCTGATAAGGGGTAGCTTAGGGCTGGGGAGCCCCTGCTGCAGGGTGGAGGCCTTTGAATAAGGAGAGTAGTTATCAGTTGTCTCCACCCAGCTCCAGAAGCCTCTCCAGAAAGATAAACTCAGTCATCAGCCTCGTTTCCACAGTGTGAGCGCCCTGCATTTTCAATCAATTGTGCATTTTTTCTCATTTGCACAAACAATAAATAATCATATTTGGAAAGTATGAAAAAGTAAATGGAAAGGGACCAAGATGTAAAGAAGAAAGGGCAGGGGATATTAAAAAATTAGGATATGTTATGCCCATGTATCAACTTATACCTGCAAATATGTACTAATAAAAATACAATTTTTAAAAAATTTAAAACATATACCATTTGTACACATACCTAAAACAGAAACAAAAGCAAAAATATTTAGCAATTACCCTGAGTCCCACCAACCAAAACAACCACTCTCTGTATTTCAAATTCTTTTTTGTGTATTATTGTTTTGTGTTTAAAATAGCATAGCTATGGTCAGGATATAATTTTATTCAATGTTTTCTGACTCAGAATACTTTATAAGCTTTCTTTGTTATTACAGACTTCATGCGCACACAATTATAAAAGTCTTTCTTTGATTTTTAGTACGTAATGTGTTCTTCTCTAATCATTCCTGTGTTATTAGACTGTGTCCAACTTTACAGTGTTAGGAACGATGTCATATTAACATCTTGGCATCACAGCATATTCTGTAACTTAAATCATTCCCTTAAGAGTAGATTCCCCAAGTGGAATCCATATAGTTAAAGGGTAAGAACATGTACAAGGCATATAATTTTTAATACAATACCAGACATTTAAAATGTCTTCTGTTTTGCTTCCTACAGCATTAGTAACACAGTCTCACTGTAAAAATGTTAACATGTAGCAACAATAAAAAGAACGCAAGAAATGACTAATCACCCCATCACTCCAAAATAATCACTTTGGCCCTTTCATATAAAACCAACCCTCAGTTTTCAGGTTTTAACCCAGGAAACTCTGCCCCATCCTCAAATCTGAAGCTGTCCAAGTCTTTTTATATATGATGGCGTGGTATCCAAGTACACCCTGTCCTCTTGTGATACCTAACACAAGGTAAATGTCATACAGGTGGCAAACTATCGTTTAGGGACTAAGAGAAGCAAAAAGTCTGAATGGATTCAGTATGGATGCAATTTTCTCCTTCACATATAGAGAGCTGGCAAAATTCTCTTCCTTCTGTGCCATTCTGTGATAATTCTGCATGGAAAAATTGTATCTCTCATTTATTTTAATTTGTTTCTCCACATCATTAAAAATTCTTCTGAAATGTGACTTTAATTACTATGAAATGGCCCAGGGTATATACATCATAATTTCTCTTGTTGTTATTGGGGACCCATCCCACCCCCGCCCCCTGTTTTTCACTGTAACAGTGGCACCAAAACACCTGCTAAGAAGCCCATGAATGCATGATGAGGACGATTCTGGTGGGAGCTGCAGCTCACAGCTGCTCTCCTGAGGGTGACAGGGAGCAGGTCCCTGGAAGGGAAAGACAGCCAGGCTCCACCCAGGGAGAGGAAGTGGACTGTGTGTCTCAGCAAGATGGCAAGAGTCCCAGAGTGCTCCAAGGGGTGTGATGGAATCCTCCAGAGTGGGTGGGAGGTGGAGGCAGGTTAGGGATTATACTAGGATTCTCAGGTCCAGATGTCAGCACCAAACTCACAGTAGACTAAGCAAAAGAGAGGATTTGTTGGCTGGCAAACCAGAAGTCCCATGGACTGCCAGCTTCCTTTTTTTTTTTTCTTTTTTTTTAAAGACAGGCTTTCACTAAGCAGATCAGGCCGGCCTTGACCTCACTTTGTAGCCCAGGCTGGCCTCAACCTACATCTATCCTCCTGCCTCGGCCTCCCGAGTGCTGAGTTTACATGCATGTATCATAACACCCTGCTCGGCTTCCATCGTGATGGTACATGGGACCCATGTTTCCCCCCAGCGCCTCTCCTTGGCTACCCTGCCTCACTGTTCTCTGTTTGGGTCTCGTCTCAGGCAGCAGCCTCCACCCTGCAGCCGAGGCTCCAGGGCAGGGGGTCCTCAGCATCATCCTCTCCTGTGTCACCCGAGTGACCTTCTACACTGAGTCAGCTGCTGCGGTCGGGGGGGGATGCAGCTCTCAGGG